TTCATCACCTCTGAGTTACAGCATCATAGTGATGAAGAGTAGAGCTGCATCACATGCTCTGACTGTCATGAAGACAACACACACATGTAGATGGAACGTGTGGAACATGTTAATTGTTGCCCAGCACTAGTGTGTGTGTGTGTGTGTGTGTGTGTGTGTATATATATATATAGACCTTGGTGGATCAGCTGGTAGAAGGCGTGCTGTCCATTGGTCCCCGGTTCTCCCCACACGATTGGTCCGGTGTGATAGTTGACACGAACGCCGTCTTTGGTGATGTATTTACCGTTAGACTCCATGTCGCCCTGACGACCCCACACACACACACACACACACACACACACACAATCAATAATCAATAAGTGATGATGTCTGCTGTGGGTCAGAGCCTCGTGTCTCACCTGTTGGAAGTAGGCAGCGAAGCGGTGCATGTACTGGTCGTAGGGCAGCATGACGTGAGTCTCCGCCTGGAAGAAGTTGACGTACCAAACACCGAGCAGCGCCAGCAGGACGGGGACGTTCTGCTGCAGAGGGACGCTGAGGAAGTGGTTGTCCTGGAGAGACACGTTTAATCTGTATTAAACATCATTAACTAATCAGATAATTCAGTGTGTGTTATTACCTTCAACAAACAAACAGCTGATTAAATGTTGGACCAATAGAAAGACAGATGACCTCACCATCCAGTGAGCTCCGGACAGAAGCTGCTCAAAGTTCTCAAAGCCTGAAACACACACAGGTCACAGGTCACGGGTCACAGATCACGGGTCACAGATCACGGGTCACAGACAGTAACAATGACATAAAATACAACTTTCATTCTTTATGGACCTCAGAGATGATTATGTCATTGTGTGTTTATGTTTCACTGAGTCATGACGAAGAGGAGGAGGAGGAAGAGTTTCCACTCTATAAAGTCTGGTGATGACGACAATAAACTACTTCCTGTTGTGTGTTTTTCATTCATTAAATCAGCTGAAACAGTAAACATTTCCACGTCACGTGACCCTCTTCATGATGTTGGTAATAGATTATGAAACATGTTCAGATTATGATCGTCTCGGTGCGAGTAGACGTACCGATGTGCAGAGCGATGGACAGACCGATGGCCGACCACAGAGAGTAACGACCTCCCACCCACTGAGGAGGAGCAAACATCACATATCACTCCACCAATCACAGCGCAGAGAACAGACAGGAAGTCCCGCCCACTTCACCAGGAAGAGGAGAGACCCAGGTCGTTAACTTTATATTAAATATTAATACTGTTTTAAATAATCTTTATGAAGGCCGTAACAGCCAATCAGAGTCAGGACAGACTTGATGACATCACGACCTGTCAGCCAATCACAAACTTACGTCCCAGAACTCAAACATGTTGTCGGTGTCGATGCCGAAGTCTTTCACTTTGACCTGAAGACAAAACAGAGGAAATATTATTCACTTATTATCTGCTCACAGAGATGCTAATAAAATAATAAACAGATTTATAGATTATATTGTAGTATTTATACTTCTATATGTAATAATATATATTTATTATGCATGACCCACTATATATTTCACTTTAAAGACATACTACACTATATTATATTATTATATGTATTAATACACATTATCATATAATAGCATAGCATAGCATATAGTAGCATAGCACACACAGCCTAAATGAGACTTACTGCATTGGTCGACAGAGCCACGAAATGTTTGGCCACCGCAGATTTCTGGAAGACGAGAAGAGAAATGTGATGACACGATATTCACAATATGTATCTCGTGACAGAGTATATTTACCGACGACTGCACATGTAAGTATTTACATTTTATAGAATCAAACTATAGATTAGTGGTGTTCCTTCTCTATTATCAGAGAACAGTCTGTTTCTATCAGTGTCATCCAATCAGCTGACAGGAAACAGATGGACTCACATCGTGGGCTGTCTGGAGGAACCAGTCTCTGGCAGACTCTGCGTTGGTGATGGTCTCCTGAGTGGTGAACGTCTGGAGAAAGAACACCACAAGCAGTGTCAACGTGATACTAACGTGATGCTAACGTAATGTACCGGGTCATCTGGCCTCATTCATTGTTCTTCAGGGTGACTGAATTTCAGGGAAACTTTTCTGATTTTAACCAGTTTTGTATTTTATTATATTTGACCAGTGGTGGGCCGTCAGGGCCTGCAAAGCCTTCTCTGCTGGCCTAAACAGAATCACAAAGTTATATCTATTTTATAATTGAATCATTGTTCTTAAATACACTACATGTATTATAATTTATATAAATATTGTTCCCATTATCTTATGTTCTCATTGCACAGCTACTGTCTTCCTCAGTTGCTCTGCTTCCAGTGCAGCTTGTTTTAAGTAGAGCTTTTATCCAATCAGATCTCACCTCTGTGTCTCTAGGTAAGAACAGAGGCAGAGGCCTGCAGACTCACAAGTGCATCCATGTGCAGTTTAAGTGAATGGGGACGATATTGTTGATTGTCATAGTGTTCAACCAATCAGATCTTTAGTTTGACATGTTGGGCGTATTCTTTGACGTGTCAGAGCCTGCTAGCTGGCCTACAAGTACGTGATTGGTCAGTGGGCTAGCGTGACATGTTGGGCGGTGACAATCCCAATATCTGCTGCTTCTGTGGAGCGGACATTTTCTTACTGGAACTAAAACGCACGGATGTACTGAACAACCGTGAGATTAAACTCTTTGTTAACAAAGAAAGGAGGACTTTCTCTTTAAATATTGAACAGCAGCTCTGGTAAGTTCAATGTGTTTGTTTTTACATCTGCAGTAGCTTTAATATGCTTGTTTATATATTATTTGTACAACTTGTTTTTATGAAGATTTTTGTTTGGTTTTATATGTGATAGGAACTATTGTTACGTCCAGTGTTGCTCTGGGGACACATTTAGTCGGTGCACAGCAACAAGAAGACACACGGGGTACTTCTCAAGTCTCTTAATTGTCATTTCCTCGCTCCTCGATCCTCGCTTGAACCGGAAGTTGTTTCTGCACCGCCATATTGACGGCCGTCCCAAAGCTCTTATTTAGCTCTGAGGATGGAGGATGGAGGATGGACCTCGGAGGAGCCATGAGCGAGGAACCACGAGAACAGACTTCCAGGAAGTCTTTTAACGGCTGACACGCCCCCTCATTGTTCATCAGTTATGTGATTGGACGCTGCAGCCGATCAGACTGACTGACTGAGTTTAACACCAGAGTGAAGACGGATCACAGAATGAACTCTAGTTTATATTTGATTAGGTTTCTGATTCAACATCTGGTTTAAATAAATGTTCATTGTAGTCTGAACAACAAAACGACCACAAACAACTTTCTACATTTATTAGAAAGATTTGTGTTTTCATGATCTGATGTTTCCCTCAATAACTTTATTATGAATACAATTAAAGTCAGAGAGAGCTGAGAGACGAAACACTTTTTACATCATTCCTGAGTGTTTGATGAGTTTTATTATTTAAGAGAAACAATAATCATATTCTGGGTTATTTAATAATGACGCCACAGTCACAGTTTCAAAACGTACAGACGCAAATAATTCATAAATAAGACGATCGCATTCCGCCGGTAGAAATGGATCCTGTGCTTATAAACAGAACACAGGACACAGTTTGTTAACAGACTACAGAGAGAAACACCTCTACAGTGGTGATTACTGTGTGTCTTTATTAGTTATTAGTATTATTAGTTATTGTTATTAAGTACAGTGATCATGTGAACACACACTAACTTATCTAAAGTCTCTCCAGCTGTTAAAGCCAACTGACAGCTGATCAGCTGTGATCATCAGCACCGTCATCAGAAACAGACTTCGCTTCACGTGACTCTTCTGAGGAAAGGACGTCTCATGTCTCCTAAAACATATTTCCTTGTTTCCTCTCTCTTCGCATGGTTTCCTCCATGCATCCCTGGTGGGAGGGACTAAGATGCAAGGAAAGGACCCAAGTGAGGGAAACGGGGATGCAATTAAGAGACTTGAAAAGTACCCGATATACGCCGTGCAAAGTTAAAGTTTAAGTTTAAGTTTAAGTGTTTAAGTGATCATCTTTGAAGATTCATGTGTTTTCAAGTGGACTCATTTTCCCTCTCGGTGTTGACAGATGAATAAATGCGTCAGGAACAAGAATTAAGGTTTCGTGTATTTCCTGGAGGGAGTGATCGTAGCGTTACTCCTGCGTTCATGTGTCTATGGTGTATATTGTTCCCTCTGATGTGAATAATATCTGAATGGCCCGTGCTCTTCAGTGTGTGGAAGAATACGTGCGATAGCTCCGCAGGTTTTTTAATGCATTGTCCGTTAATGACGCAGCTCGTGTTCATGTATCTGCACTCTGCAGTTAGTGTATTTATAGCTGTTGAGCTTCATTTTTACACGAAACAAACAACGGTAGCTGTGGCTTCATGAGGAGGTTCAACTGTAGTAGGACAGCACTGAGGGCCCAGGTATAAAATGCACGGCCCGCCACTGTATTTCAACAACATAGGAAGTATATTTAAAAACCATGTTTAACTTCATCCATGTTGCCAGAAACCAGACTTCAGCTGCTGTTTGCTCTCCAACTACAGGTTGTTCTTCAGACATTAGAGGCTACTTATATGAGCCAGAAGAACATTAAAGAGTATAGAGGAGGACGAGGCCGCCGCATATGTGTGTATGTGTGTGTGTGTGTGTGTGTGTGTGCGCGTCACCTTGGAGGCGATGATGAAGAGAGTGGTCTCTGCGTTGAGCTGAGCGAGGGTCTTGGCCATGTGAGTCCCGTCGATGTTGGAGACGAACCAAACGTTTGGTCCTCCAGCTGAATACGGCTTCAGAGCCTCGGTCACCATCAGAGGGCCCTGAACGCACCACACTGTGAGGTCAGAGGTCAAGATGAACATAGGAGGAGTCAGATATCTGACCTACAGGTCACTCACCAGGTCAGAGCCCCCGATGCCGATGTTCACAACGTCCGTGATGCTTTTACCACTGAAGCCTTTCCACTCACCGCTACGGACTCTCTGTGGACACAACAACACCAGAGGTACCTTTATGTCTTAAAGGTACAAACATACGTAATTGACATGAACTCTAGAACCAACGACACAAACA